TTTTAAATTTATATTAAAATTATCATTCAACTTCAAAAAATACTAAAATTATCTTTTAATTTTAATTTTTAATAAAAAAAATCTTTTCATTAACAGAAATATCAAGTAATTTTCTATTTTGTCACAAAATTAATTTATTTTTAAAATACTAATAACGTGTAAAATCAAATAATTATATTTTATCATTGTAATATATTTTTATTTACATATCAAATTACTATATAATTAAGATTGAAAGATCAATTTTATTTTTATAATTAAAATGTAAGAATTAAGTTAGTATTTATATTCAAAGTTTAAAGATCAAATTAGTATTATTTTTCAAAGTTTGAAAACTATTTTGATGTTAGAAATTAAAATTTAAGAATATTTTTAATATAAATTTAAAAGTGAAGGGATTAAATTAGCATTTTAACTTCTTCTTTTTTTTTTTTAATTTCTCTCCCTCCTCCGGAGCCGAGTGCAATTGTCCAAGTTCAAAAAAAAAAAAAAGAAAAAAGAACTTGATATAATGAAAATGGAAAGGACATGGGTGCTCCTTAACCATTGTTTGTCGGGTAAGCAACATACGTTCCACTGACATATGGAGCCCAAATCTCACTTATTGTTAGGTAAAATAAAATAATTTTATGTTTGACTCCATGAAGATTCATTTGCCTTAGTATGAATGGAGCGACAAGTGGACCGTCAAAGTAATACTCTTTTTTTTCTATATATATTCTCATTGTGTTTTGAGTCCATTTTTGTATATTTTAATATTTATTTTTTAAAATAATGGTAAAAGTACACTCTTATATTGTATGATTATTTAATTTTTTTTTAAAATATTAATTTTAAAATTTAAATATTAAATTTAATCTATAAAATAATATCCATTAACAAATCATTCTTAAGAGTTATCAATGTCCACACTATCAACATTTAATGTTAACAAACAAACATAGACCGCTTGGCTAGATGCAGGTAATATCCCAAAAGTCAGAAGTAATAGAATCAAGTGCGCATACGTTGTTTCTCCTATTGGATTTGTTTAAGTTTCTTCTATGCAAACATATAATAAATATATTT